GGCACGCACGAAACCGACAACCATAAATCAACGAGTCAGGGATGACTCGTAACCAGTTCTCAAGCGCCCTTTCACCTTCCTGCGAAGTGGAGAACGCAGTGAGGTGGCGACGATTGTCCCACACGTGTGTCCAGAGGGGCGTCGCTGACCGAAGTAGAACGGCGAGAGCAACAGGCAGGTCTCCATACGAAGCGACTATCGTGAGAGGATAGACGGAATATGCGATGTACTCCTAGATGCATGTTAGTTAGTGTTGAGATAACGGATGGGGGTACGCACCGGAGTCTCCTTGAAGAACGTGGGGTCCAGCAAGATCTCAAGCAGAAGGCTTACAAGATCTCCCGAGTCAAAAAGTTCGCGCAGCATTGTATCCAGAGCTGTACCAGAAGATACCATTATGTGTAACTGGAGGATTTTAAGCTGAACCATAAGGTCGTCAGAGTCCTTCGACTCGCGCAATCGGCCTTCCTTTCTCGCGCATACAAGCTGTCGGATAGCAGGTATATCAATCTTTGGAATGTGTGCAACCTATTGCTGCTGTAAGGCTGGAAGATGGCCACCGATAATGGTATGAGGCGCACCAAAGGACTCATACTGGCAATTGTAGAAAGGACAAAGGATATCCAGATCAGTGTAAAGCTGTTGCGTATAGTCTATGCCACTGACCTGATAGAGCTCTGGCAGCGCGTAGAGTGGCTGAAGCGTTGTCAATGGGAGAACGAGAGGGAAGATGGTGGTTGCCTGCGGCTCCGTCAAAGGCCCGTATTCGAGCTAGTGGCTCTCTTTCACACGCTCTAGTTCGCGTGGATGGCAGCGACCATGGTCCTCGGTGGAAGCACGAGGTTTCCATGCGTCACAGGCTTACAGTGCGTTGCATAGTAATTCGCGCTCTAGCCCGACGGCCACTGTCTATCGGAAGACCGTGGGCCGGCCCGCGATCAGAAGTCTGACAGTCTATCATGCCGCCAGAGCTTGAATTATGATCGTTTGCCAGCCTGCATGAGCAAGACCAACCGTGCGATACCAAACTCACAACCAGCCCTCTTTATCGTTACCTGAATATGCTCCTCAGTTTGGCTTGCAAAGTCGGGCGTCAAGGACATGTTGCCACAGTCCGATGATGAACGCTTCGACGAGGACTCAATGTCAACATCGCCAATCGAAGGCTTGTTGGTAGGCCTTATATGAATAGTCGCACGATCTGAAGTAGGTCCCAGTCCTCTCCGTGAATGTTGAGAACGGTACTCGCTGGACGCACGAGTTTCCCTCACTTCTGCCTGCAGAAAGCGGAAAGCCGTTTGCGAGCACAGAGCAAGATGTGCCTGTTGGTCCGAACACCATCCCAACATCCCCTCCACGAGCGCGATCTAGGGATGGAAAGTGACCATATCCATATGGTGCCATGATGGGAAGAGCCTATACGGTATTGACCGACGCGCGCATACGACGGAACGGCCCGGACCGTGAGCGCTCTGAACATTCGGCACGTATGAGCCTTGCGCTGAGTTGCATAGTTCTGCACAGAGAGCTCTCTTACATTAAGTCAGCATCAAGACCAGTGATGTCCGTACATATTTACTGGTATGTGCGCGGGCGAACTTTGCGGAAATCCTATTCCGACTGGCTGACCGACTGCCCTGAACATTCCGCGTGGGAAGAAGCACGGTCGCTCAGCGTCTGGAATCGGGTGTCAGCGCGTTAGCGCCGAGCAAGCAGGCAAGGTTGCACTTGACATCCACCATCCCACCCCGCATCCCAACGGCTCTCATCGCGACCAGACTTTTCAATGTTCTCTGGATGGCCCGAACTACTTGCCTCGACTTCGCTCTTCCCCTATGCGTGCGCGCGCCGTCTGGACACACTCAAGGACCGCGAGAGTTGGCCTTCGCCCGTTAACTTGGAACCGATGTCGTGCTGGTCCAGGCGTCGGTGAAGTGGCGACCGCTACAAGCTAGTAGCAATTCATCCTTTCAGTGGGCGACATGACGCACCAACGTGCGGGCGATCTCAATGGCGCAAGAAGCAAGCACTGGGTGAGCCTGAATTATTCTGACCATCTCCCGACGGATGTGTCCTCAACCATAATTCTGATTATGTGGAGATAGGTAGATGCATTGGAAGGACTGGCTCCCTCCTTATTGCATCATACTTGGCTTGCGTGCGCTGAACCATGCCCTTGTTATTTACGCCGACAGCCTGGAATTTGTGCGTTTCCTCTTGCTCCTCCACATCTCAATGCACGCTCAATTCATGTAGCCTCTTTGCAGGTGAATACCGTTGCCCTATGTCGTACTTGGGGGTCACCCGAGCATTGACGGGAATTGTGCGTTGCTGCCCGCCTGCTTCTCCATATCTTCGACAAGGTCTATGTTTACAAAAGGAAGCGCAGGTGCACGCTGGAGACGTACTGGAGGTCTAACGCGTATGGGCCCACTAGCGTGCCCTCTCTGTCTACATCTATTGGTATCTCCTATACCGACCTACGCTCGATAGAATACCGGGCTCAGCAACTGATATGGCAGTCAACCCTTGCATACTTCCCCTTGATATCGTGTTCATCCCTGCTAGCATGTTTGTGCGAGAGACCGCGAATGAGTGAATATGGTATTATCACACAGATTGAGGGACTGGCTCGAGTAGAAGATCTATTCTGTTGTCTTTCCGTATCGTGAGAAAAAGCATCTGTCATTGATGGATCCGCACGCGTCTTGCGCGTCATCTACCAACCGGTCGAAGTCCTTGTCCTCTATCATGCATCATGGCTCGTGAGGAGCGGCTGTACTTCTGCAAGTGCGCATCTACGTGTTCGGCGCGCGGCGGCCAATGGATCAACAAGAGTACAGCCGTAACTCATCGTCAAGACGATGAGATTTTGCCTATTCTTCAGCGACGACGTCAACCGGCACCACCACCGGCACCGGAAACTCCGCCGCCGACGCCGGGCCCAGCATCCTCTTCAGCGTCGTTCTCAGCACCAGCCCCGTTCGGCGAGACCTCTACCGGGTCTGAGTCCTCGTCTACGATCCCGCCGGACTTCTCGGCCTATGGGTTCGGTCCACCAGTCTTCGACGACGCGCTTGCCGAACTTTTCAGGACGGAGATAGCTGAACTTCTCGACGAGCCTCAATTCAAGCCGCTGGTCTTTGTCCACGATCCTGCAAGCTACACACTGTCCGCATCAACGGCTGTCTCCCCCGCAATCGAGGCAGATAAGCAATTTCGTTTATCCTCTTCGGGAAACAACTCCAAACACCTCCGCATGCAAGCGCGCTTCTACGAAATGCTTGACACTATCGATACCTGGCCAGATTCAGAAGACCTGGAGGGACTCTCCGACCAGATATACGCTGCACTGGGGGAGCTCGATGCAAGGCGCGTGTCTGCTTGGGTCGCACAGCACAATCGCGACGTCGCTCCTAACGTGGTGCAAACCGGTAAGCTATCTACGTCAGTAGAGTGTATGGGTGGTGTCTAAGCTTCTTTTAGATCAATATTACCGTCAGAGTCTACCGAAGAACTCTTTCGTGGCTTCAGCATACGTCGGAGTCTTGGCGCTTTCTGCTATGGGCAAGCTGGATCGTTCTAGCGGGCGCTTCTTACTCGCTACCTATCGTGATGCCGCCGCTTCGACTGCCGAGACCTCACAGCTAGTGGATCAGATTCCCAAAGACCCACGCACGGTGCTGAGGGCGATCGATATATCCCCCCGTTGTCGGCGATACGCCGCCTGTCCTCGCTGCTCAGAACTTTACCCGACGGACGAGGGCGTAGCAACCCCAAGGCTCTGCACCAAGCAATCGACTCCGAAGAGCCCGATCTGTGGTGAACCTATTCTTCACGAGGGCGGGAAGCATGGGCGTCTGCAGCCAATCCTACCATACAAGCACCAAGACATCCTTCAGTGGCTTGCACGGCTCCTGTCCCGGCCAGACATCGAAGACTACCTCGAGTCTGCGCATCACTCGGAGAGGAAGACGGACCCAATGTCGAGGGACTGGGATGGCGAGCGCTTGTACAAGATCAAAGACGAAGATGGCGAGCCCTTCCTTCCTGGGCCACCCGGCGAAACGCATATCGTCTTCTCATGGTCCTTCGACTCCTTCAATCCGTACTTCAACATGATCTCTGGTGTCACGGCATCATCGACGGGTTTCTGGTTGGTTTGCATGAGCCTTCCGGAGAGTATCCGCTATCGCGAAGAGAACATCTACTTCGTCAGCTGCTATCCGGGCAAGCCGGACGCCTCTCAAATCAACCCCATTCTGTCCCTCATCGTCCGCGACTTCCTGATGCTGTGGCGCGGTGTCTGGTTTTCGAGGACGCGCAAGCACCGTGCCGGCCGCTTCCTCAAGGCTATTGTCGTGCCTCAGATCAGCGATTCCGATGCACTACGTCAGGGATCGGGCCACAGCGCGCACAACTCCGCGCATTTCTGTCTTTTTTGCGCCCTCCTCTATCAGGATATTGAGAACCTCGACCCCGAGTCCTGGCCTGCATACGATGTGCAAGAATTCCACGCGGCGGTGAGTATCGATCGGTGTTCGTTGATTTGTACTGAAAGGTAGCCAGGTCGACGCCTGGAAGAACGCTCAAACTGATGGCGAACGAGCCAGCCTGTGGAAACAACATGGCCAGCGCTGGACACCCTTCTTTGACCTACCTTACTACGACTTCTTCCTCGACAACATCTTCGATCCCATGCATACCTTCAAGATCCGTATCATCGAGGACCATATACGACGTGCCCTCGCATATAGACCTCCGGGCGCAAAAGAGTCGAGCTATGCGGCACCTACGGTAGACCGCCCGCCCGATGAAGACCTGTTGAAGCTGTATCGTGAATTACTCGCCGCTCGAACTGAAGCCGAGATCATGCAGCTCAAGGAGAAGTTGGACCGCAAGCTGAAGTCGTATTCGTGGGCCATGTGTAAAGATCTCGAGCTGCGCACCGTCTCCACGATCTATCATTTCACCCGGAATATCGAGGACTGGGTATTTTTCATCCTTTACACATGTACCTGCTCCTGAAACCCCGAATATAGCGACGCTCTACAACTGAAGAAGTCGTGGCAACTACGCTGACGGAGCTCATCACTGAACTCGAGCCGGACACAACGTCAGCCGTGAGCATGTCATCGCCCGCGGCTCTTCCTTCTTTACTCACGACCTCGCTCTGCTGGCAGGATGATACCGTCGCCTCGGCGCGGGCTACGCCCATTCAGTCGCCGTCTCCCTCTCCAGTTCCCACGCCGGCAAATTCTCGTGCAAGCTCGCGAGCTAGCTCACGCGCCGGTCTTACGGAGGCTGAGAGGGAGGCTCTTCGGGAGGAATATGTCGCATCCCTCCAAGACCTTATTGACTCACATCACCTCGACCCCCTCTACGAGCGGTTCTTCTATCGACAATCTCCAAACACCATCAACACGAACTCCACTGAAAGGGACATAGACGCGATATGCTACGAAGCCGGTATACCTTGGGAGGGCGTCCACAAAGCAGTCAAGATCAGGTCCATTGAAGATGAAGTGAGCCTATTCTCGTAGACCCTTGTAGGTCCCCTGCTAACTGCCGTTGCAGATAACGCGAAGGTACGGCATAGCTCCACGGCAGAAAGGTCAACGGGCCAAAGCTATTGGAAGTTCGCGCAAGAAGAAGGCATCTGTGGTTCGTATGTCGCGACTGTTCTGCGTTCTACCTCTCAACAGACGAGTTTAGGACGCTCGTGAAAGCTTGACTCCGGATATCGTGGAAGAGGTTTGGGGAGACCAGGGACGTACCAGGCTGCCTACCTTCGTCACGCACCTCCCTTCAGATTGGGGTACAGCTGGGCGCGGGAAGTTGTCTGCCGCGCAGTGGACGGTACTTCTATGCGTTCATCTCGTCATAACCCTGGTCCGGCTTTGGGGAGGGCTCGACCTGACAGACCGACGAAGGCAGCTGCTGGACCACACGATGAAGCTCGTGGACATCATACTCCTCGTATTCCGCAAGACCATATCCCTTGCCGATGTCGATTCCTACGAGATGCTTATGCGCGAGTACTTGATTGACAAGAAACGTCTCTACAAGGACGTCACCATCAAACCCAGCGACCACGTAGCCATGCACTACGGCGATGTACTCCGTAACTTCGGTCCGACGCGTTCGCACGACGGCTCGTTCTACGAGAGGTTCATCCGCCGCCTGCATAGCTTCAAGATCAACCTGAAGCCAGGTACGAATCTCGTTCTGTCATCACTATATCCGAAGATGATCTGATGTCTACCGTGCGTAGGAGAACAGGAGTCGACGTATATGGATAGCGCCGTTCGACATGCAAACCTAAGGGCTATGCTGCTGGATGAGGATGACGCTCTGCAGCGCTTTTCGCACTTCCTCGACGAACACCGTCTTCAGGAGCGCTGGGATCCTCGGGGCACCAAACTTGGAAGTTTGCTCTTCGCCTCGAGGACCAAAGAGACATGGGAGGGAGCGCTGTACTTGCCGGACGACATCACTACGTCGCTGCTGACGGAATCTCATCATCAACTCGCGACTGATTTCATAAGACACGCAGGCTTTCCTACCGCTTCCAACCCTTTGCCGCGCATCGTGCATACGCTACCCAAGTTCTCGGCAGGCGGTGTGGCATACTGCACCGAAGATTGCAGTTCTAGAGACAGTGTGATAGCCTATACGACTTCAGCAGGGCGACGTAGCGCTGGCGTCATCAAGTCTATCATCTTACTCGATCGTCCATCCGACCCCCATCCGCCTTCGCATCTCCTATCTCAACCTTCGCTGCTACTGGTCATCCGACCCTACAAGCCGTTGTCTGGCCTTGAACAAGATATAGATGAACGTTTTCGCCGCTACCCCAACGCTGGCTTCTGTTGCCGACCGGAATCTGTGGCAGAGCAAGTACTCGGTGCCACTCAGCTCATCAGTCACGTAGCAACAACCCCAACGTCTCTTCCGTTCGAGGGCAAACAGACGGACGTGGTCCATTGTCTTCCTTTAGGCGCAGTAAGCGGGATTTCGTTTCGTTAGACAGACGAACTGACACGATGCATGTAGGTGTCTTCGGCGCTCATGACAGGCCTTGTTCAGAACCCGATGGACCACGATGAGGACTCGTGAGGCTCGCGACGCTCGAGAGATGGGTAGACTCTGTAAAGACTAGGAGGATCGTTTAGGCAGCTGCTATACTCCATATTGGGATTACATCCCTTCTTTCACCCTTTGCACATATATCCTCCACACGGGGCTCGTATGGTGATTATATTAATACACGCGGAGATACTTCGCCGGTCCGGAGTGAGACGCGCGCGTGGTTCATAACGGCTGAATCGGCTGTATTCTGATAGCACGCGCCGAGTCCCTCAGTCAACCTCGCGATCATACACAGGACGTTGCGAGTACTTCGATGACAGGCACATGGTTGGACGAAGAAGATTCTCGACCATCAGTGATCTGACATCCTATGACGAGACGCGCCAGAAGCTAGAGCGGCCACTGCCTCCGACTGACATATAAGGGAAGGAGGGTCTTCAGACAATCTATGGCTACAGAGATTCGCAGCGCTCTCGATCTTCCTGCGGCTGAGCCCCTTCGCGGATCGGGTGCGCCAGCTCGGGATAGTACGCACGGGGTAAGTTAGGCTATGCCATTATCCCCTCTCCGCCTTTCGGAGGCTTACTACTGTCATGCTCAGCAACAACTCAGTCGCATTCATCCACGAGCCTACTATCAAGCACATGGCGAGGAGCTCGTCGCCGTGCTACTCCAGTGAGCTGACTGCGCAACGCTAGACGGCGAGTGGCTTTTGTACTGATGGCGCGCAGGGCACCGGACCTCAGCGGTCTTAGCGCCGACCGTCCTGACCCGGGAGACCATGCGCGGATAAGATCCCCAACACCTCCGCAGTGAGCATGTACGCTTTCGCAGGCATTTCTCACAGAGTAACCGTGCAGTAGAAGAGAAGCTACAACGTCGTCCCTGACGTACGCTCTCAATGCTGTCGTCCTCGCTTTGGAAAGCCCGTCTGACAAGTGGCTTGTCAAGCAAGCACTGAGAGCTCTTAACTCCATCGACCGTACCGGCGAGCTGTGGGCGAAGCTCGATACAGCCGTCGTGCGCCGGGCGATTTCAGCGGATGGATTGATGGCCGTCCATAGACGGCTAGAGTATCTCCGTGAGAACACGCAACGAAGGTACGTCACTCATCATTTCCATGTCTGACCGTTGGATTAATGACCCGCGTAGAGCTTCACAGGGCTCCGTCAAGCTTAATTTGAATATCTCAGGTTGGCAGAACTCAGTCGGCCATACTCACTGGGTCATCGGTGACGAGTACGATCCTCGCAATCCGGCGTTTGTACCGCCCGCTGTATGCGACGAGAATGGGAGAGATCTTCCACCCTTTTGTCTCTACGTACAGGCTGGCCCGGGTAAGAGGGGGTTCGGTAAAGTCTGGATGCTGAACTTGATGGGAGGGTGGGGCGAAGTACAGCACGGAGACGAGCACCCAGTGCACACACAGCGGCGTCTCAGCCTTCTCAGCGAGAACCTGAAACCTAGTTGGATATCCAAAGATTCCCTTCCACGAATGGAACATCGAAAAGACAATCGGAGGGGGCGTGGGGGTTAGAAATGACAGGCTGCTGTTTACTATTTTCCAGCATCTACTGTACATCCCGGTACAAAGTTTACGATTTCATGATCAGGAGAAGTCTTGCAACGTCTTCTCGGATGCTGATGTACCAATGTGCGCGGCTGCTTGACTTACCAGCGCAAGTCTGTTCGCACGCATGGTGTCTGAAAAACAGCAACGTAGGGATGGGGGATTCAGTATCGATCAGACTGAACAAGACAGGGGAACACAAGGATTGAAGAACAGGGTCGAAAGGCAGTGCGGACAGCATGGCTACTGTGTCCGTGGGAATCATGACAAATCCAAGGTCCCAGTTATCGATCCCGCTCTCTTGCCTCCCAACCCTCACCACCTAGCGTTTTGCCGTCTCCCCTCACCTCTTCCCTCCTCCCAGTATGAAGCAGGAGAAAGCCTCACCGCACGCGGACCCCTCGCCTACAAACGAGCTGGACCGCAACAACCCTCGCTCTGTGTGAAATCTATAGGACGTCCTGGGTACGCTGTGCATCACCATGGCCCCTTTGCCCACCAAGGAGCCTCTCTGCGTGCCTCTGGCAGCGACATAGCACCTCGCCATCGTCGCCGTCGTCGAGGTACCATGCGACCTCCTCACGTCGACGGCATCGTCCGAGCGTTCTTCGATAGGCGCTGCCAGCCGACGGCATCGTCTAAGCGCCTGTAACACGCGCACCGGAGACGGCATTGGCCGGACGCTATCGTCAAGCGCGCGCTCTCTCGCCAGCCGACGGCATCGCCCAACTTCGATAGGCGCTGACGACGGGAATGTCCGAGCGCCCTCGGACAGACAAGGTCATCGTCATGTGGACTTGCGAACGTCGATTTCGTTATTGGCGTCCATCGCGTTATCGCATCTCATCCCCGGCCGCGACCTCGACGATATGTCCAACATCACCGTACCCGATTCCACTGTCGGTTCCTACCTCAATGGTACCGACAACAACACCACCGTACACAATATCGAGCCGCAGCAAAACGCGTCGGGCGATACGGCTTCTTTGGTGAACGTGGACGGTCCGCCTGCTGGTGAGGATAGAGAGATGTCGAATGCCTACGAAGAGAATGAGACGGTGCGTACTGGATATGATATTATACGATCGCATCAGCTAATTCTACGTCTGCAGCAGAATACAGAGGCATTGCGCGTTGTCCGGTCTAACGCGGTGGAGGCCGCTTTGCCAAGGACGCGCAACGCACCCGGATTGGCGAACGAGGACACCCCCGCTCAAGCTGCACTTGACGCAGGCGCGCAAGAATACTCCGGCCCAGGCCGCACGCAACCCGCTTCGCCCGACTTACCCGTTCCGGACTC